GCAGTAAGCGCTGGTGTCTGTCACAGGAAAGGACGTGTGGTGCCCTTGGGTAGCTTTACAGCGTGTGCTGACTGAGAGGCTAGCAGGCTAACACTGATCATGTAAACTTAAATGAAACATCTTCTGTTCGCGTTATTCCCCGGTAAGAACGCTGATCTGTATACAAGCCTTTTTCTTATCGTTATTAGCGTTGCATTTTTAGATTATAAAGCGTATATTTACATTTTTGGCGGTAGCTTATCAGCTAGCTTACAGTTTTACTCTACTACATGTGTGTATTTATAGTGTATATATGTTATATTATTTGTATATATTAACGTACTATTCTATATTACTATTAACCTCTTACCCTGCACCCTATTTTATATTACTATGTATTATTAGTATTATTATTAAAGTATTATTACTATAATTATTATATGTTTGTGTACTCTATACCCTTCTTTCTAAGGTTTTGTCTAATAAAATGCCTCTACACAAGTATCCACCAAAAATCTGGGAAGCCCTGAAGCTGCAGAAGGGCATCTACGCCCGTTTACCCCAGCACTACCTGTGCTCCCTGCAGGACAGCGCCCCTCCTTCACCTGTGCACTGGAGACCTCTGGGTGTCAAATACAGACTCAGTCCTAAATCTGGACACAGAGAGCGAGTGCAGGATGTGCCTATCCCTGTCTATCATCCGCCAGAATCACAGAGCGGACTCTGGGGTGGAGAAGGCTGGATATCTGGCTTTAGATATGCTAAAGATGACAAGGTAAGACCGAAGAGAGAACTACAGTAATACTGAATATTGATGATTTGGGTTCTTTTATGTGAATGCTAGTGGATAAATGAGACTGTTTCTTGAAGACGACTTATCCTGTCACACCAGCTTTCTACAAGACTGCGCAAAACCTGGAAGCCGCAGCTGTTTAACAGAGAGCTGTACAGTGAGATCCTCGACCAAAAGTTCACTGTAACAGTCACAGCTCGCACACTGGACCTTATTGATGCTGCTTTTGGCTTCGACTCCTACATTCTTACGGTGAGAAGTCCTCAAAAGTCTGTTTTAAAAAAAAATATATATATATAGAATTTTAATAATACATTTATGTAATAATGTATATTATATATATAATGTAATTTGTATAGTAATATTTATTGTATGAAATGTTTTGTATTATTATATTAAAAAATGGCATTTAATGCTTTATCATTTTACAAAAATGTTTAGAATTTTACATAATATACATTTATATAGTAATATTATAAAATGTTTGATATATTATTGTATATTTATTCTTATCTTAATAAATTATGAAGTCCTCAAAATCTGTAGCGTTTAGTATGTTTTAGCATTTTACAAAAATTAATCATTTTATATAATAATGTTTATACAGATATAATATTGTATAAAATGTGCTATTGTATATTTATTATTATATTTTTTTTAAATTGAGTCTTCAGAAGTCAATGGATCATTTTACAAAAATGTTTAGAATTTTACATAATATACATTTATATAGTAATATTATAAAATGTTTGATATATTATTGTATATTTATTATCTTAATAAATTATGAAGTCCTCAAAATCTGTAGCGTTTAGTATGTTTTAGCATTTTACAAAAATTTTAATCATTTTATATAATAATGTTTATACAGATATAATATTGTATAAAATGTGCTATTGTATTTTTATTATTATATTTTTTTTAAATTGAGTCTTCAGAAGTCAATGGCATTTAGTGTGTTTTTTATTTTATATAGATTGCAATAATTTTACATAATAATATGTGTTTATGGATTAGATTGTATAAAATTGTTTCATTTATTATTGGATATAATTAAAATATAATATATATAAGTACATGACATGTCTGTGGCATTTAGTATGTTTTATTATTTGACAAAATTATGTTAGTTCTATGTAATTGTTTTATATATATATATATTAATATATATTGTATAAAATGATTTTAGTTATTGCAAGTTCTCACATATGTGGCATTTAATGTGTTTTATTATTTTGGATTGATTTAGTTTCATATAATAATGTTTATTTAGAAATATATATATATTATATAT